GCCAGGCCTCGTCTGGGGGCTTCCTGTCCTCCCACCATCCTCCTGACCTGTGGTCTCCTTTCCTGTCTCCCACCTGACCCCCAGCTCCAAACCCTCTCCTCTCTGTGCAGCCCAGGGGTGGTTATACCTTCAAGCTAGCATACCCTGGCCTCTCGTGGAGCCCAGCAAAACAGAGCCCCCCAGAAAAAGGGCCCACTTTCCTAAGAAGGCAGCTCCATCTCCTCGTCTCCATATCCCATTGGGGGTGGTCCTATGGCAGGCAGTGGGCAGGGGGTTTAAGCTGGAAGTCTTCATTTTCTCTTTTCCCTCTGGGTTTGGTGTCCCCTCCTGGGTGCGTGTCCCCAGTGACTTCGGCCCCAGTCCCAGCCCTGAAGGCACAGCAGAAAACCTTCTGAGTTTGGAAGTAAAACAGGGTCGCGACGTCTCACACGTGCTTCCGTGTGTGTGTGTGTGTGTGTGTGTGTGTGTTTCCCTGAAGGAGCCTCCTCCCCTAATTTTCTCAGCATCGATGCGGAATGCCACGCCCACCCAGCAAGACAAAGTTCACGGAAGTACCAAAGGTGGGGCTTGTTGTTCACCTTAAACAGCACACGAAGCTTTTAGCATTTGTGTGTTCCTCTCGCTCTGGCTGCTCTGTTCTCTAAGCTCAGCAGAAAGGGAGATCTGGAGAGTGTTCTCATGGTGCTGTGCCCAGGGCTGTGGGGTCATCTGGATGTGAGCCAAGGCAGTTATTGGTGGGCTGGTGGAGGCAGCTCCCGAGCTGGGGGATCCCAGAACTGGGGTTCATGACAGGGGTCCAGGCAGCTGGAAATACCTGCCTGTCCTTTGGCACCCAGGCTTCGGGGATGGCTGTTTGTCCGGTCACACATCAGCACTTCACCCAGGACTCAACTGGCCCAGCTGGAGGCAGGGGGAGGACCCGGATTCACATTCCCGGAGACTGTACACGGCAATGGGGAGAGAGGAAATGGGGGTGCTGGTGGGAAGGGAGAGATGCCGGGTGTCCAGAACAACCCCCACCCCCAAAGTCCACTTGGGTGACTTATTAATGAGAATAATGTATGAAAGGGCCCTGCACGATGCCTGGTCCCGAGCCACCCTGGTACACGGTGCTCCTGCGACGGAGGTCATGGAGTGAGCGAGGAGAGGACACATGAACGTGAATAATAATAGGGCACGGTGCGCACTGTCATTAAGGCCCACACAGTGTGGTCTGGGAGCCACTGCAGGAAGGAGAACTTGGCCAGCTTGGCTTAGGGGTGGTCAGGGGGCTTCACGGAGGAGGCAGCCTTTGAGCAGTACCTGATGACAGACTGGAGGGAGGCAGGTGGGGGAGGAACACGAGGCGGGGAAGGGCTTCCAGGCCGAGGGCACTGTAGGAGCCAAAGCACACAGGTGTGGAGAGTATGGGAGGAGAGGTTCGGGGCTCGTTCTGGAAAGGGCAGCCCTGCTGTCACTGGGCCCCAGGGCATGTGTGGGGTGAGGGGAGACGGTGCTGGAGAGGTCAGCAAGGGCCCCACTGGCGAGGGCCTGGGTTTGATTCCCTAGCAGCTAAGGTGCGTGGTTGTCCCTGGCGCACTTGGGCAGGCATCACCAATTATCATCGTGATGCGGTCTGCTGAGGGAGCAGCTGGGCGGCTGCTGCTGACCCTTTGATGTTGTGAGAAGTGAAACATCCCGCACCCCTCCCTGCCTGAGCCCTGGGGAGCTAATGGAGGCTTTTAAAAAGGGGGCGGTGGGGGGGTTGTTGCAGGTGTCCAGGTGAAAGGTGGTGAGGCTTAACCTAGGACAGTGACCATAGGGAGGGACAGGTTGCTGCCCACGATATTGTCTCACTCTACCTGACCTAGAGATTCCAAGCAGTCTCCTCCTCATGCCCCCCCACCCGCCCACCCCCTGCCCCGACCTGGGCAGGTTGCTCAGGGTCTCCTCCGTGGTGTGTGTGCATGTTCCCCCTGAGCTCTGTTACTGAGGAGGTTGCTGTCTTTCTGGGCCCACGCAATCCACCACGGTTGCTGCTAGCCACATGCGGCTATCTGAATCAGAATTAATGAAACAAAAATGAAAAATTTAGTTCCTCAATCCCAATAGCCACAATTTCAAACACTCGATAGCCACATGTGGTTTGTGGCTGCCGCACTGGACAAACAGATATGTGACATTTCCACTGTCGCAGAAAGTTCTACAGGACAGTTTAGAGGAAACCCAGATGCGCATCCAGACTGTGTGGTCCGCCAGGACGCTCGGTTAGCCCAGGCCAGCTCCGTCCTCTCTCTCCAGTTCGGAAGGCCGGCCAATTCATGTCTGCCTGGCAAGGGGAAAGTCCCCGAAGGGAGAGTCTCAGAAAGTTTTAGAGCTCAAAAGCAGCGGAGAGCTCCTCCAGCTGGACGTGGGGGTTCTGGGGGGGAAGGGAGTGCCCCCCAAGCTCAGAGAGGGGAGTGACTTGCCTTTTGGCGGATGACTGAGAAAGTCACGCAAACAGAACTAGAAGAGGCCTTTTTTTGCCTCCACCCCCCGCCCCCACCTTGTATTTCTTGGGATCATTGCTCAGTTTCTTGGTCACAGTGAGGGGGTGGGGGGTAGGGAGTGGGGGCGATCTTCGCCAGTGCCCACCTTTCTGCAGTTGCGCCCTAGTTCCGTCAGAGGGCGCAGGGGCCGTTGGGTCTGCACTGGAGGTGGGCGGGGCGGTGGGGGAAGGCTCTTGGAGCAAGGACTTTGGGCTGGCTTCCGCTTCAGGCCGGGCCCTCGAGGAGCATACGTTATGATTCCAGGCGGCCCCTGCCCTCTAGGAGGGCTCAGTTTAGAGGGAAGAGACACCATAATGCCGTGTTTGGGTCTTCAGCGAGGGGCCTTGAAGGGTGGGTAGGAGTGTGCCAGGCAGCCTGGAGTGCAATTGTGGAGAGCAGAGGTGGACAGCTTAAGTCTGTCTCCTATTGGAAGGAACAGTGGCCTGCATCCAGGGATTGTTTCACCTCCAAGGGACACCCTGGACACACTTTCCTGTTTTCAGATAACAGAGAGAGGAATTTCCGATGGCCTTTCTACTCTAGTAATACCCGATTCACCAAGCTGCCTCACACCCCCGTGCCTTTGCACATGCTGTTCCCGCAGCCTGGGGCATCCTCTTCATCTTCTTCAGCTGACCAACCTCTGCTCATCTGTCAAGATTCAGCTCAGGAGGTAGCTTCTTCCAGGGAGTCTCCCCCATTTCCAGCCTAAATGAGATTCTCCTGCTGGGAGTCCCTGCAGCCCTGGCTTAACTACCTGAGAGCAGGCGCTGGTGCATGCGGCTCCGTCAAAGTGATTGAGATGCACAGGGCCTGCTCTAGGCAGAGCATCAGCATATTAGTTACTGGTCCCAGGACAGAGAGAAGGCGTTTGTTTCTCCCTGCAGTCTCCCCACCGGGAGGGAGGAGGCAGAATGGGCCCCGCACTGTGCCCGAGTGCAGGGGTGCGGGCCCCAGATGCCAGAGCTCCTCTCTGCATCTCTTCCTCCTAGTGGTTACCCTTTGCAGGTGGTGCACATGTGTGGGTGCCAGTGGCCAGGGAGACACTAAGGCGTGAAGGCCTTAGGAAGCATCTCTGGGCTGCAACAGAGCCCCATATACTCCTGGGCTTACTCCCCAGTTGGTGGGGAAAGGCAGTGGTGAGCTGCAGCCAGAGCCCTGGAGCAAGGGTAGAGGGGTCTGGAGCCTGCCACGGTCTCTGCCATCTAGCCCACATGTGACCTTGGAGGTGTCATTCCTCCCACCGAGCCTCAGTTGTTGCGTCTGTAAAAATGGGGATGCAGCAGTCACATTTCTTGGGTCGCCAATAGTTGAGCACAGGACACGGGTAGCCGGAGGTGGGGTCAGCAGGGATTGGAGGGGTCCACCCGTGGCGATGGAGCCCAGGGGGCGCGGACGTCCTCTGGCAGGCGCTGGGGGGCGCTGCGCGCCTCCCTCAGCCCGACCCACGTCAAGTTTGTCTTTAGCTGTTGAATGCACCCGAGACAACGGCGGCTGGGCCAGACCCCGAGGGGTGAGCGGGGCCGGGGAGCGGGGCAGGGCCGGGGAAAGCTCCCCGCCAGTGACCCGGGCTCCGCGGTCCACGGGACCACTGCCGCCACCTCTCCGAACGTTGCAGCGGCCGTGGTGGAGCCAGGCGCTATCCCCGCCGCGCGGGTGTGTGTCTGTGAGTGTGCTTGTGTCCGTGGAAGGATCCAGTCTGGAGAGGGGGCGGAGGGGCCCCGCTGCAGAAAGGCCTGCGAAGGGGACGGGTGCCAGGGCCGCGAGAGCGGACGGACAGACGGCAGGCCTCGGCCCTGACGCCGCTGCGCTCGGCCCCCTCCACGCCACGCCGGCTGAGCTCGGCCCCCTCCCGGCGGCGGGCCCCGCCGGAGCAGAGGCGCGGCGGCAGGAGGCGGGGGTGGCGGTGTCTGCGCGCACACGCTCGCTCACACACACACACACACACACACACACACGGGACACGCCACAGACACACGACACGCGCCGAGCCCGCCGGGCGCCGCGCACACCCGCACTCACACTCACACTCACGCGCAGGCCCCGCAGCAGCCGCTGCTGGAGGCGGCGCTCGGCCCGAATCCCGGCTGGGGCTGGAGGTAAGTGAATTCCTCCGGATCTGAGCGCCAGCGGCCGGGGGAGACAGGGAGACGGCGGGAGTGGGGGCTGAAACCGAAGGGCACCCCCTCCGCCAGTAGGGGTGAGGCTTGGAGGGGGACACGGCAGGGGGAGAACGAGAGGGGAAGCTACCCCCAGTGCCTCCTGGGTCGGGGGATCCCTGTGAAACCCCCGGGGACCGCCCCGTACGGGCAGTGGGGTCGGCGCGGTGATGGTGGTGGTGGTGGGCGGAGGCGGGAGGACGGGAGGACGAGAGGAAGGCTGGTGAGGTGAGAATTTTGGGGGGATGGTGCAGAGTCTGGCTGGTGGACGGCAGTGCCAGCCGGTGCCACACAGCACCTCTCTGCCCTCAGCTTTCTGAATCAGGGGCTCACACCCCCCTCTTTCACCGAGCGCTGCCGGGGCTGAGGAATTCATCTTCACAGCTGGTAAGGGGCCTTTGATCCGTGCTGGGTGGCATCTCCGGTGGGTGGTGGGGTCGGGGTGGGGCTTCATCCCCTCCCCCCTCAAGGAGAGCAAGGGGTTTGTTAAAAGGACTGGAGTTGGGGAGTGGGGGCCACCAGGGGCGTGGGGACCCTTGCCAGGCTCTGCCCTTTCTCTGGGGCGCTGGAGTGGGGCAGGCCCCCTGCTTGCAGGGAATGGGCAGAGACTGCGGCTCCGGCAGGGCCAGGGCAGGGCCCCGCTGCCGCGCTGTGTGTGCATCTTCATGTGTGGACTCCAGCAACTGGCAGAGGAGGGGGCCAGGGCTGGGCGTGTTGGCTGGGGGGTGCTGTGCGCACGTGGAGAGGGGTGTGTGTGCACATAGGAGGGGTGGCCTTGCTCCCTGTACACACACACACACACACACACACACACACACACAGTCCGCTGTCCAGCAGGGTTTCTGTGGAATGTTGGAGGAGAGAGAGCTGGTGTGTGCGTGTGCGGGGCCTGGGGGGCACCCGGGGAGCTTGTGTTCAGGCTGGTGGCAGCCAGGCCAACATGTGTCAGGCATGCCAGGGAGGGGGACAGACGAGGAGAGGCTGGCGGCACTGACCCTTCTCAGCCGGGGAGGGCATGGGACTTGAGGCCACTTTCTGCAGCTCTAGTCTTCTGCTGTGCGCCCTCCCCCGCCTCCTCCCTCCAAAGGGGCTGCCTCTGGAGGGCCCTGCCTGGGTCCCCGCCCCAAGGGACACAGGTGTGGGACTGGAGTGTGTGTGTGTGCGCGTGTGTCCGGCTGCGGCTGCTGCTGTGGGCAGGCCGGGCTGTGGGAGGAAGCTGGGGGAGGAGCCGGGTGCCGGCAGCACCTGGAGGAATGTCTGGAGGCTGCAGGCCCCAGACGGGCCGCTGTAGCGACTGAAGGACGACTTCCTCTGGGAGCTGAATCATGCATAAGTGTGTGCGTGGCTGGCTCCCACACCTGCTCCCATGGGCACCTGTGGGACATGTGTCTGGCCATCAGCAGGGCATGTGGGCCTGCACGTGTGTGGATGTGTGTCCTGTGAGAGGAACACACACACATGCACACAGGTGTTGTCCGTAAGTGCCTGTCCTGGGTGAGCTGGGTGCCCTGGAGCCGAGTCCGTGGGCGGGGGCCTCTGGGCCACTGGCCGAGGGGCGGGAGGAAAGAGGCGTGATGGATGGAGGGCAGCAGGGGAGAGTGTGTGACGTCAGTGAGAGCCCCTGGCTGTTACATCAGCTCCAGGTTGCCAGTGACGTCACTGGGACAGCAGTGTGAGAGGTCACCCCCAACAACCAGAGTGTGTGATGTCAGTGGGAGTGTGGGAGGTGTCACTGCGTGTGTGGTCGAGTGGGGTCATGTCCTCTGTGTCGTGAGGGGCCAGAAGGGGAGCTTTGGAGTGAGCGGTCCCTCCCAAGAGTCCCCACTTCCTGAGTGAGCGTGGGACCCCTTTCCTTAAAGCCTGCCCCCAACACTGCATCTCCTCTACCCCCATAGGGTGTCCCCCCTTCTCCTGTCTGCACCCACTGGTGCCTGCTCTGGGCCCTGTGTCCGCCAGGTGCATGTGTGTGCAAGTGCACGTGACAGCAGAGTGGCCACAGCCAGGGAGCCAGAGACTTTTGGTTCTAATCCCATGTCATCGTTCTTTGTGTTTTGTGATTTAGGCATCCCTGTCACCTCTCTGAGCCTCAGTTTCTCATCTGTTCCCTGGGGGACGTTGGAGAGGTGAGGGGGGATTGCAGGCTCCCGGCACACGAGGGGGCTCAGTCTGTGTGAGCTCCACCCCCTGCTTTCCGTCCCCAGACCAGAGCAGCTGCCCTCCCCTCCCACCCCACCCTCCCACTGTGGTTCAAGCCTGATTTGGTAGGGAACGTTCTTTTTCCCCTGGGACCCTCACAGCAGCCCTGGCAGGCTGGCTGCTGCTGTGTGGACATTTGACAGGTGAGCAGCCTGAGGTCTGGGGGGTAAAGGAAGCTGCTGCCACCTCACTCCTCACTGAGGGCCTCCCCACTCCTGTTCCACCCCTTGGGTGCACGTCCCTTCCCACAGGGACAGGGAACTACCTGACATGGGGGTGGGGTGGAGGTGCCAGGGTGAGGGACCCAAGGGAGAGAGATCACCGGCCACAGGGAGACTGCCCTTGACTCCCAGGACAGTGCTTGCTTGTTCTTCCACGTCACAAGATCCAGAGGTGGCCACGGTGACGGAAACAGGTGCGTCCGGCTGCCAAACCTCTTTCAGTGCAGTCAGCCTGGCATGGTCTTTGGAGGCCCCACGCTTGCTCCGCAGTGTGGCTCCCTTGTCCCCTGAGGTCTGCAGAACGTGTTCCAGTGACGCCTCCGCTTTGTCCTGTGTGTGATGAGTGGTCAGCCCCTTCTGACTGTCCAAGCAGCCGTGGCTGCTTGCCTTGCAGGCTTGATGATCAAGTGTGAGAATGTGGCACCCACGTGCAGGGCCCAGATGACACCCATTGCAGCTACCCTCACCCGTTGCAGCCACCGTGCCTCTGGGCCCAGGCCCTTCCTCCCCCCCCACCCCGGGACCCCCCAAGTCTGCTGTGACGGTGCGTGCTGCAGAGCAGGCAGCCAGGAAGCAGGATTGCCTCGAAGCCGGAGCCAGAGCCTCCCTAACAGGGGGCAGCGCTAATAGTGCAGGAGGTTAACTCAATCCTCTGCCTCCTGCTGTCCCAGCCCAATCCCCTATTAAATTAACCTTCTTCCTGCTCAATTAGCACCTGGGGCAGCGGCACCGCCATCATTACTGGGGACGTGTCTTTGGGGGTTTGGAGTAATAGAGTCCCCTGCTCCTCCTCCTCTCCCCTCAGCTCTGCAGACAGTCCCCAGGGAGGCTCCAGAGAGCCACCTGGGCAGGCTCACCCACGGGGTTCCGAGGAAGGGTGCTGGCCGCAGGATGCCGCTGACAGCAATAATTATAATGATAATGATACTGATGATATGAGCTAATATTCATTGAGCCTGAGAGCCAGGCCCTGTGGGAAGCCCTTTACAAGCGGCTCTCACCCGAACGCCAGCAACCCTCCTACAGCGGAGCTGCTCGCCGTTCTCGTCCTAGTTCGCAGGTGAGGAACAGAGAGGTGGCAAACCAGCTCAGGGCCACACAGCCAGGGACCCAGGACCCAGGGACCCGTTGGCAGGACTCCTGCATCAGCACTTCACCGCTGAGCTTCTTCATCTGGGGACCTTTCCATCTTGGGGTGCTCCTTGCCAAGGGATCGCTCGGGCCTTTGCTCTGCTCCTCTGTCGGCGGGGGGCGGAGACCTTGCTGCGGGGGAGTAGTGGGTGTGGCAGTGGCTGCAGGGACAGAGGGGCAGACGGGCTCCAGGGTCTCCAGCCCTCTCCCCACAGTGACCTGTGACAGTGGGGAACCTGCTTCTCTGTCTTCCCGCAGCCCCTCCCTGCACAGCCTGGGCACACAGGGGGTGCCCCCAGGGCACAGGTGGCAAACACAAGGCCCGTGGGCCAAATCCGGCCCTCCACCTTGTTTTATCCAGCCCGGCAGTGCTGAGCTCCTTGCCTGCTAGTTAAGGAGGAGTTACACTTATACAGTCTTAAAATTATATTTGGCCCTTTGAAGGTATCTGTGAGGCTGCTGTGCCCCCCCCATGAAAATGAGTCTGACACCCCTGCCCTAGGGGATGGAGGGGACGTGCCCCCATCACCTTCCTCTCCAGGCCCCTTGTCTGTCGCAGCCTCTGCTGTGGCCTCTGGGCTGCTGTGCCACACTCTCTCTGTCTCACTTCTGGCAAGGGCAGGGGCGCAGGGCCCAAGTTTTGCCTTTTTCCTCTTGGGTGTGTCCTGGGCAAGTAAGTTCACTTTTCCTCTACAGGGCCCTGCTTCCTCAATGTGAAGTGGGGGTCATGGCGCCCATCTCCCAGCGCTCCTGTGTCAGTATGTAAGACAGTGTTTGGTATGTAGCCTTGTGTCTGGCACATAGTAGGTGTCAATTAGATGAGTTTCTGCCCCCTTTCCATCTGTCTCCTCAGTTCATCCCTGGTTCCCTGGAGTGGGTCTTGGGTTGTGTATGTGTGTGTGTGTGTGTGTGCGCGCGTGTTTCCTTCTTTCTCTTTGGCCTTCACGTTCACTCCCTGGATGTATAGAATTTATCCTGGAGCCAAGCCGGGGGCCTGAGGCAGCTTTCGGAGGACATGGGAGCTGCCTAGCCCCGCCCCCCATGAAGTGTGCAGAAGCCTGGGGGGGGGGACACCAGTGTGTGTGCCTGTGTGTGTCACCTCTCACAGAAGGAAGTGAGGAATAGTTCCCAAGGGCTGCCTGACCATTCTCTGGGCCCAGCCCCCAGACTTCGGCCTGACTCAGTTTCCCTCATTGGCTTATCTCTATCATTTACCCCCCACAGCTCTCCCTGGATCTTGGGGAGACAAAAGCCGAGGGTGGGCAGGCCCTCTCCCCTCCCTTCCTTGCCCTTCTCACTCGTGGTAGGAGGGCGGGCATGGCTCGGCTTGCCTGGCCACTTCCTGTCTGTCTCCCAGCTCCCTGCAGGTGGAAACGCACATGGCATTTGTCGGACAGCTTCCTTCACCTACACGCGTCCTGAGGGTGGACTGATGTATTCTGCATTCGGCCGGCATGCACACCCTTATAAGCATGTCCCACCCAGGGCGGCTCTCGTGCTGGGGGCTCAGGCAGGAATTGCAGGCACGAGCCTGTGTCCTGGAGGAGGGACAGACAGGTGGGACACTTGCCAAGTGCCCAGCGTGAGGCTTACACACAGTAGGGCACGTGTGATGGTGGTTCTCTGAAGTCCGTGACCCTGCGGAGGATGGCAGGGGTGGGGGCTGGTGCTGCAGGCTGAAGGCCTTGTGCGGAGCAGCCCGGTGCCCAGGGCGCAGAGGCTGGAGCCGCTCCGGGCGCTGCATAGCACACCGCTGAGTGCCGGGCCCAGGGCGATGCACTTGGTGATCTTGTTTCATTTCGTCTCGAGGTTGTGAAAGAGGTCCAGGGGCCTCTGCCCGGGGCAGGCAGGTGGAGAGAATACAGGAGCCCAGGCCTGGAGGTCGGAAAGCCCGGAGCGAATTTGGGAAGATGCATCAGGAATGTAGTTTGGGGATGAACCACGTAAGACCATAAACTCTGGACTAAGACATGGGGCAGTATCCTTCTGTCAGGGAGTGCCAGAGTCTCTGGGTGCTTGTTAAACGCAGGATGTCGGACCCTGCCTGGTGAGCTTTCGATTCCCTGGGGTTGATGCGGGGCCCAGGAATCTGCATTTTAGTGCATTTCCGGATTAATTCACTCCATGTTTGCTGGTTGGATGGCAGCCCAGGAGGCTCCTCCCACACACATCCGGAAGCAGCAAACCACCCCCATTTTCCAGAGGAGCCTGAGCTCAGAGAAGTGAGGTGCCGCGCAGTGGGTGACACAGCAGCAAGACGGAGGCTGATACTGACTAATACTGACTAATGACCTTCTGGGTTCCCTGGCTGCTGTTCTGAGCCCTTAAAGAGTTCCTCATCCAATCTCAGAACGACTCTCTGCATCATTGCTGTTGCACAGATGAGGAAACAGAGGCAGAGTCTGTGGTCACAGGTTCAAGGCTACACAGTGGGTAAGGGCACGAAGTGCGGTGGGGATGAGTGAACCTGGAGGGAGACCTGGCCCTGCATCTTGGATGGAGTGATGCCCTCCCTTTCCCTTCCTTTGGTGCGAGGGCTCCGGTGGAGCTGAGCCTGCCACTGCGCCTGTGAGCAGGGGCCAGAGGACGGAGGTGGGGGAAATAGAGAAGCGGGGAGGCGGGAGGAGAGCCTGGAAGGAGAGGCAGGGTTGCCTAGGGTGGCGGGTGTGTCTGTCCCCAGTTTGCATCCCGTTCTGGACCATGTGGTGCACCTGGTACAGTCCTGGGCCAGGATTGTCTACAGTGGCGGTGGTGGGCAGGGAGGGAGGGCTGGTGGCCGGCTGGGCGGGAGCTGGGGGGGTGGGAGTGCGCTCACAGAGCCCCAGCCCCGGGGCGTCAGCCCCACGCCAGTGCTGCAACAGGCCCCTGTGGGGGCTGGGGCACCGCCCGCTGGGGCACCGTAGAGCCCCCAGCCTGCGCAGCCAGCCGGCGGGTTTCCGCCTTACTTCCCTGTGCTTAGAATTTGCAGCCACATCCCCTGACGCTCACAGCCAATTTCACGGCCTCTGGGCTCCTCGAGGTGCGCGGTTTCAGGCAGGGGCTGGAGGCGGGTCTCGGCTGCGCCCTCGGGAAGGGGGCAGAAAGGGTGATCATGGTGAGGGACCGCTGACTTGTTTGCAAGGGTGTGTGTGTCAGGGGGCTGTGGACGGGATGGGGGGAGGCCCTGGGAGCTGCTGTGGGTGGTGTGCACGTGCGGGCATGGGTGTGCTGGAGGTGGGGAGTAGTTTGGCGTGTGTGGTGGCATGCTTGGGACGTGCATATGTTGACATGTGAGCCTGTGTGAGGGCCTCTGTGCCCAGGGCAGGTTTGTCTGGTATGTGTCAGACGGTCGGCAGTGGGTCGGGCCAGTGTTTCCCTGGGCGTGTTGACATGCACCCGTGCAGTGGTCCCAGGCACTGGTGCGGGTCCCTGTGTTGGGGTGTGCCCCCCTCTGCCTGGGTTCTGTGGGCAGCTGTGTGTGGTGCCTCTGGGGCTGTGGGCACACGTGTGTCTGAGGAAGTGTGACATTCTGGCGTGTCGATTGCCGTCCTTGTGTCCTGTGGGTGCAGCTGTGTGTGTGAGAGGGTCTAGTGTGCAGTCTGGGGTGCTGTCCCCTCCCTGGTGGCCACTGGACTCAGGGTCAGCTGGGGCCAGGCATGGGGGTGCCACCCCCGGGCCTGGGAGCCCTTTCCAGGAGCAAGCCTGCTGCCTCCTGGTTTTCTGCCTCCAGGTGAGGGTCGTGGAGTTGAGACGGCAGGGAGTAGGGAGCTGGGTGTTTCTGTTCTGTCGCTGCTGCTGGCTGCCAGCTCCGGTGGGCCTACCTTTGTGAATGGCGATGTCGAGGGGCCGAGGTGTGAGCCCCTGCCTACTGGGGAGGGCCAGGAGTACCATCTGGGCTGCTGGAGTGGGGTGCAGGGCCAGGCAGAGAAGGGGGCCCCCAAGGGAAGGGGTGCGTTAATGGCTGTGCTTGTGTGTGCACAGATGGAGGGAAGGCTGAGCCGGGCACATCCGTCTGGGCATGTGTGTGTCTGCGCAGGTGAGGTCGGCAGGTATACTGCTTTGGGGGTGGGCCAGCACACACAGCAGGAAGTGGGGCACAGGTGGTGGGCACCCTGGGGGAGGGGTGCGCAGGTCCTCACAGAGCCTGTGTGAGAGTAGCACCCCGGAGACCTGCCTGTTCCCTGCAGCAGAGGGGAGCGGGCTGAGCTGGTGCTGGGGTAGCCCACGGAAGGGTGGCTGGTGGGGCGTGAGAAGGGGAGGCTGAGTCTGTGGGCGCCAGGCGTCAGGTTAGGGTGAGGGTGGCGTGGCCGTCCCCACCTGAGTGTGACCTGTGTGTCCATGACTGTGAGTGAGGTGTGTGACTGGGACAGACCTCCAGGCCGTGGGGCTCAGCAGGGAGTGAAGGACATGGGGTGGAGTGTGGGGGTGTGTGAGGACCCTTCGGCTCCAGGAAAATCTACCCATCTGTTGCTTGCTGCTCCGGCCCAAGGGGCCAGGCAGGGACTAAAAGAAGTCCTCTGGGCCCTGGTCCCTCCTCTCCACCCTGAATCCTATGAGGGGAGGGAGCCCCCAGCCCTCCCTCTGGGTTTTGAGGCCCTTTCCCTCCATCTCTCTTGCTCCATCATCCATCCCCATCTCCCCACCCCCCTCCCCAATCTCCCTGCCTCTGTCTCTCTCCATCTCTGCCTCCATCTCCCTCTATTCCCTCCCTCTTTCTCCTCCCTCTCTCTCACACTGATATTCATTTGTGGTATATTCGGTTGCCATGGGAAACCTAAGAAAGAAGTGAGTGTACCCTTCAAGACTTCAGCATGTTCCCCTCCTCCCGCCCTCCCTCCCTCCCGCTGTCCCCTCCCTCTCCCTCTCTCCTCCCCTCCTCTGCCCTTCGCCTCCTCACCTCCTCGCAGGGGAGGACCTGAGTGAGGAGCCGCTGCTGCCTGAGCCAGGCCCGGACCAGAGGCCCCACTTGAACCGCTGCTGTCACCGCTGCTGTCGTGGGGACCCCCCTGACACCAGGCCAGGAAGAGAGCCTCGCTGCCTGCCGGAGGGCCCCTCGTGCCCACAGACGTCTGGTAAGGACAAGGTCCTTCTGAGTGCGTGTGAGTGTGTGGATGGATGTGCGCCTGCTCACACGACCTGGCCTTGCCACCCCGGGGTGTGGCCAGCCTCTGCCCCCTGCGTGTCCCCTCCTGCCTTGCCCAGCCCTGCCCCCAGCTGTGGGCACCCCCAGCCTGGCCCTCCCCAGCTTCCCCTCCACAGGGCTTGTGAGGCAGCTGGCAGAGGGCAGGCCTTTTAGGGCCCGGGACTGGTCCACTGAGGAGGGCGGGAGAAGGCTGCTGGCCTAGACACCCCACTGCTGCCCCTGCACCCCACTAAGAGGCGATTCAGACCTACCTGCACCCCAGCAGGGCTGGGGGCATCTGTGCACCTGCTGGGGGTGGGGGACTGGCTTCCTGGGGTGGCCTGGGAGAATATGGCCTCTTCTCCCTCTGGGTGTAGGGGCAGCTCTCTGTTATAGAGAGGGGCAGACTGAGGGGCAGGAAGTGAGCTGGGGGCGGGAGAATGCTGGGCAGAATCAGTCCCTGACCTGACCGGGGGCCTTGAATTGGAGAGGCATGGGGGGAGTGGTCTTCCCCTACTGGGCCCTGGGGGGGTCTGGTAGGAGCCCTTCCGTCCTGGCAGGGGCTGGTGGCTGCCCTGGAGAGGAGAGGCTGAGGCTGTCACTGTCCCTGAGGCTGTGTTGGTGGTGGCCACGTGGAGGAAGCTGTTGTCCTGACGGTTGCTGAGTGACGTGGTTGCTGTGGAGAGGGACCCGCCTCTGTGGCATTGCGGTCTCCATGGAGAGAGGAGGAGGCAAGGGAGGAGGCTGGCGTCCGGCTGGTGGTGGTGGTTGCCAAGGAGAGGGCGATTCGCGTCCGAGACGTGGTGGTCCCACGTGGAGGGGCTGTGGTGGCTGTGGGGTTGAAGTCCTCAGGAAAGGGCTGGGGATGGGTGCTCTGGAGGGGGCTCGTGCAGGGAAGAGTGGGGGTGGTGGGGGTCCCAGGAGGGAGGGGCTGCTGCTGCAGACTTGGTGGTGCTGGCACAGGCCGAAGAGGGCCGCAGGGAGGCTCTGGCGGTGGCTCACTTCTACCGCCCATCCTGCCTGTCCACGAGGCCAGGCTGGTGACCCTGCTACACCGTCAGCGCCCCTCCTGCCAAGGTCCCCTCCTGCCTGTCGCTCTCTCTCACCTCTGTAGCCAGCTTCTCCTGCCTCTGCCTCCCGCGGCCCTCTCCCTCCTCAGGGCCTTTGAACGTAAGAGTGCCCCGGGCGTGCGTACGCTCCCTCCTTGCCCCCAGAGGACTTCATCCCCATCCTTCATGTCGGCTGTGCTGTGGGAAGCCTGGTGTTGTCACCTGCCTTTGAGGTATCAGACAGGGGAAGCGACTTGCCCAAGGTCACACTGTGATTTGACCCTGGGCGCCTGCCTCCCCAAATGTCCAACTCACCAGGCCTGACTCCTCCTCCCCCAGGAGCCTCCACTGCCCTCCCATTCAGAGTCATCTGGCTGTGGCCCTTACAGCTGTGTGAGCCTGTGCCTCAGTTTCCCCATAGGTGAGACAGAGATGATGATGTACATGCCTCTTGAGGCTGCTGTCACTTGGGATAGTATCTGTGGTGCCCCTGGTGTGGTTCCTGAGCAGAGACTGAGTAAGGGTAACCACCACAGTCTAATTCCTTTTAAACGGGCTGTTAGAGCAATTTTCTGACGGGTCGCCTGGGGAGGGCAGCGGTGCCTTCTCGCCAAGGCCTGCCTCACTGTGCCCTTCTTCCTGGGGCCCCTGGGTGGTGGAGGTACTGAGCCGACCTTGTGGTAGCAGGAAGCAGGGCCTGGAGAGGGGGGCTTTCTTGGTCGCAGAGCCAGGATGGAACCCGTATGACCGGATCCCCTTCTGCGTCCCCCATGCTTGCTGCTGGGGCCTGTGCGTGCACCATAACCCAGTGGGCCTCGTCCCGGAGCTGTCGCCTGAGCCCCTTGCCTTCTGGCTGTCTTCACTGCCCACAGGGTGCGGGTGCCTTGGGAATAACAGATGCAGGAGACGTTGGTCCTGTTACCCTCCTTGACACCACTAGGGGACAGGTCAGGCAAGGGACTGAAAGGATGTCCAAAGAGGGACATTTGAGGGTCTTGGGGAGTGATGGGCAGGAAGGCTCTGCCACTTTCTGTGTGGGTGGCCCTGTGCACATTTCTTTGCCTTTCTGGGCCTCAGTCTCTTCATCTGTACAATGGGGATGATAAGGATTCCTATTTCACTGCCTTGATGTGAAGCGGGGGATGAAGTCAGCACACGGGGCTGGTACCTAGGAGGGGCCTCCTGGAGCAGTGGCTGTTCTTGCTAACATGTTGGACTTCTTCACTTGAGGGGAGAGGGCTGTCCTGGGTGGCCCCCAAGGGCAGACATAGGACAACCAGGCACAGATCCCAGTCTGTCCCAAGAAGCAATGGTCTACTGGCGAGCGCTGCCGTGGGGTGCGGTGGAGAGATCCAGCAAGGGCTCTGCGCACAGCGAGAGCGCAGAAGGCTGGCGGGAGCACACGCTCTGGGGTTATAAGACTTAGGTTCACATCCTGACATGGCCATTCATGGTCTGTGGGGTCTCAGGAGCCTCCGTTTTCCCACCTGCACAGTGGGAGGCATAACAATGGAGCAAATGTTACTTTAAACGCCGTCCCGTTTGTGGGAGACCCGGGAGTCCCTCGAATCTGCACAGCATCCCATTTTCCAGAAGGAGAGAGCAAGGTGCCAGGCGCTTAAGGTTGTAGAGCACTTACACCAGCGGCTGTGCTTTGCTGAGCATCTGCTCTGCTCCCGGTCTCGTTTAATTTTCCAGCCTTTGCACCTGCCGTTCCTCCTTCACCCGTGGCTGCTTCCCGGGCTCGTCGCCTGGCCATCTCCCTTTTTGGTTCCTTATCACCTCCTCAGGGAGGCCCTCCCTGACCACCCTGTTTGATCTGGGCCTGCTCCTTCTCTGTTTCCTTATAGCCCCCAACACAAGCAGTTGCCTTTTGTTTATTTGCCTGTTACCCAGCCACCCACCACTGTCAAGTGTCAGCTCCCTGAAGAAAGAGCATTTTCTGTCTTGTTCCCTGCTCTGTCCCAAGTGCCTTGAACAGGGCCTGGCACGCAGTAGATGTTCAATAAATCTGTATGTAGTGATTATAGGGGTGGTGACCCGGCCATTCACCCTGGCGGTCAGTCTTGTCATTCCCATTCTATCCATGAGGAATGCAGGTCTTGGGAGACCTGGTGAATCGCCTCCCAATTTACCTCCCAATTTATCAGGGTCGAAGTAGGTGGCAGGCCTAGCGTTTGGTCCCAGAGTGGGCTGACTGGAGGTCAACTGCTTTTTCTGCTGCTGAGGAGCTTTTTCCCCACCCGGCTGGGGAGCCTGGCATTTCAACCTAGAGGGTTTGGACTTCCTTCTGGACATAGAGGCAAAACCGTGGATAAGGCTCTTAAGGCTCTTAAGGGAAGGCTCCTGCCATAAAGAAGAGCTTTGGATAGCAGCCTAATTACCAAAAGAAATCAGGTCAGCTACCCACTAGCTGTGTGACCCTACCTAAATTACTGAACCACTCTGAGTCTCAGTTTACTTGTCTGTGAAATGGGGATACTGTCTTGGCTGGATTAATAATCTTGGCTGGCTTCTGGGAGGCGGTGGGCTTTGAGCTTCGATTTGCAGGCTTGGCTCCCCAGGTGGAAACACAGCCTTTGCTGAATCACCCCAGCCCTGGGAGGCCCCACTGGCCACACCTGAGAGATGGGAGGTTTTGATTTCTGAATAGGGGGCATCTTAAGTGGTCGGGACAGGCCATTCTCTGCCCTGCCAGCCTGTGCTGTCTCGCCCCTTCCCTGAGACAAGAAGGGAGAGAAAATCGAAGGGTGAGGAGAGAGAGGGAACCTGGCTCTAGCTGAGTGCCGGCAATGTCTGAGGATATCCTGCTGGGTCCCCTTGCATGGTCACAGCTGCCGCCCATGCAGAGTGGGAGTTCTCACACCCATTTCACAGACGGCCACACTCAGGCTTGGGGACATTCTCTATAGAGAGCCGAGCAGGGGCTTGGCCCCGGGCTCTGGGGCTCCTGCCTGCACATGCCAGGGAGTGGGGGACAGTGGGGGCTCCTGGGTGGGTGTGCCCAGAGAGTGGGCTGTTGGGCCCAGCCCCACCAGGGTGGCTCCGATTTCAGAGGCTGGACCTACAGGGGCTGTGAAATGAATAGACTGCTCGCCCCCGGCCTGGATGCCGCCCCCACCCCTGCCACTGCTGGCAGCCACGCTTGCCCAGGGAATAGATCTGGCGTTGTGTGCGGTTGTCCCAGTGTCTCGCTCAACAACCCCATTTGTTTGGGGAGGAGAAAGGGGGGTCTGTGGCGCCCAACAGAGGTGGGATTCATGGACAGGCCTGGGGGCAGGGTGGCTGCCTGGTACAGACCAGGCCTGGAGGAGCTCCAGGAGGGAGAGGAAGGGGGCGAGGTTGGGGTCCTGCTTGTACCCCGGGGCAGTCTGTACTCTGCATGGGCGGAGGTGCAGGAGTGGGGAGAAGAGGGTCTTGCCCCTGTGACTTTGTAGGCTGAAGGAAGGAGAGCATGGTGATCTGTCCTCAGGGAGCCCCTAGTCTTAGGGGCGTGGGGGACGAACCGTGCCATGAGTCTGAGGGGGGCACAGCCCTGACTTCAGGGAGCCCATCTGGGAGTATAAAGCCTCAGCTCCCAGAAACCCTAGTCGGAAGGTGGAGGCTCTGTGGGTTTGGGGGCTCAGTCTGCTTTCTGAATGTATGGCTGGTCCCACTGAATGGAGGCTCCCCGAATCTGGGAAGACTTCTTGGAAGAGGCAGTCCCTGAGGACTGGGAAGGGGCTGGATGTGGCGCGGGGACTACAGGAGGGACCGGTCTGCAGTCAGAAGCAAGACAGTGCGTTGGACGCCGAGTCTGAGTGGTCTCGTGCACCTGGATTCAGTTTGCTCGTCTGCGAACTGGGGACGCCTCCTGGGCACTGCCCGGCTGCCTCCTGGGGTGTGGGTTGGAGGGAGGAGT